CCTCATGGAGTGAGATGATCGTTTTAAGGAACTTGGGGGGACAACCTAAACTTTCCAAAATCTACCATAGACCTTTTCTGCTCACAGTATCGAAAGCCTTTGTGAGGTCGACAAAGGTTACATAGAGACCTTTGTTCTGTTCCCTACACTTCTCTTGCAGTTTTCTGAGAACAAATACCATGTCTGTGGTACTCCTGTTGGCTCTGAAACCACACTGACTTTTGGGTAGAATTCCTTCAGCTATAGCGAGTATTAGTCTGTTCAAAAGTATTCTTGCCAGGATTTTGCCAGCAATGGAGAGCAGAGTAATACCACAGTAATTTGAGCAGTCTGATTTAATTCCTTTCTTCTTATACAAAGTGATGATGACTGCATCACGAAGGTCTGATGGTAGTTCGAGAGGAAACCTCTAATATCAAGCATTTGATACTTGGTCAACAGTGACAAAGAGGTCTTATGTAGATGCATAGGAAATCTGATACAAATTGGTCAGTAAGTTGCACCAATTAAAAGCCTGCTTCATACTAGAAAGAAGTTTGTATGATAATAGTTAAGAAATAGTTGCACCACAAAACCCAATCAAAAATACATGGGGTTTTTAATCGTGTTTATAAAAGAAACAATTTAACCTGAAGATGTAGCAAGACTTCCAAAGCAGATTATACAGGCATTACAGTAGTTCCTCGATGTGATTTGCACTCACGAAATATGGTAATTGGAACTCTTATGCTTCATTGCAAAAGGGCCTCAAATTCAGGAAAAGCAGTCCAAACCTAATCCTACCCTATCAAGTTGAAAGGTGGGGCATGATCAGGAATCACTGAACAAACCAAGTGAATATTTTCTCTGCAATCAAAATATAGGACACAGAAAGCTTTAGGGTTCTACAGAATAATTACACAGCAATTACATAAATATAATTAGTAGGTCTTCTGCTCAGATTTCATGAATTACTATTTTTCATTGTAGCAAATACAATGCTCTTGTTTTCCTTATTAATTTGGAGTCCAAAGATGCCAGTCACAAGGGGATTCTGGCAGTGCTTATTGCATAGACAAACTGCATTCTCAAAGCCTTACAACGCACAACTAACTAAGTTTTTTGGTTTTGAGAATTAAATAATTCAAGCTGGTGTCAGGCTGCCTATGAACATTGTCGTAAGGTGGCCATGCAAACCTGAGAATTAGATGACAGCTTCCATATTGACTGTCAGTTTACCTCACAGATGATGAATTCCATGCTTTTAAAGTAAGTTATACATGTATTTTTGCAAGACTACATGTGATCTTGCTGAGCCAGAAAAAAAATGCAAAATGCTGATTTTCTTCAGTCCACATTGCTGTATCCAGACAGCAAGTTACATAGCAGCTCTAGTTATAAAATTAGATAAATACAGTGCAAAAGTGGGATAGAATCACTTCCCTGACCAGCTATTTGACATGCAGTCTTCAGTGCACTTTCTTGAGATTCCTGAGATTTTCTTCTCCTGAGATTCCTAAAGTCCTAGGGTCTTCTAGGAAGATAATACTGCAATCCCTAAGTGACTACCAAAAATAAGACTGAAGTTTGATGAGGCTGAACATAGTCTTATGGATTACACTGTCTCAGTTAGATGTGCACGTCATAACCTTGTCAGGTGTTTATCACTTAGATGACATCTGTTCCTGAAGTGCCTAACAAAACTAGGGATGATTAGCATTGAGTCACTTTCCAGTCAAATCTGTGCTTGCAGAGAAATGAAGTACCAGCTTTGAAACCAGTAACAGTGGTAGCAAATTACATTCTTCAGTCTTATCTTGTACTGGTCACTTCAACTGGTTCTTTTGGAGCCAGTCCAGTTTAATATGTTTATCCATGGTCTGGATGAGGGGATCGAGTGCACGCTCAGTCAGTTCAGAGACAACACCAAATTGGGCAGGAGCGTGGATCTGCTGGAGAGCAGAAAGGCTGTGCAGAGGGATCTTGATAGGCAGGATCAATGGGCTAAGGCCAATGGTATGAGGTTCAACCAGGTCAAGTTCAGCCAGGTATGAGGTTCAGCCAGGTCCTTGCACTTGAGTCACAACAACCCCAGGCAGCACTATGGGCTGGGGGAAGAGCGGCTGAAAAGCTGCCTGGCAGAAAAGGACCTGGAGGTCCTGGTCGACAGCCATCTGAACATGAGCCAGCAGTGTGCCCAGGTGGCCAAGGTGGCCAATAGCATCCTGGCCTGCATCAGCAATAGTGTGGCCAGCAGGACCAGGGCAGTGATTGTTTCCCAGTACTGGGCACTGGTGAGGCTGCACCTCATTTCAGTTCTGGGCCCCTCACTACAAGAGGGACATTGAGGTGCTGGAGCATGTCCAGAGAAGGGCAGTGGAGCTGGAGTAGAGTCTAGAGCACAGATCATATGAGGAGCAGCTGAGGGAGCTGGGGTTGTTTAGCCTGGAGAAAAGAGGGCTTAGGAGAGACCATATTGCCCTCTACCAACTACCTGAAAGGAGGTTGTAGTAAGGTGAGGATCAGCCTCTTCTCCCAGGCAACTAGCAATAGGACAAGAGGAAATGGCCTCAACTTGCAACAGAGGAGGTTCAAGTTGGATATTAGGAAAAATTTCTTCACTGAAAGAGTGGTTAAGCATTGGAACAGGCTCCAGGGAACTGGTGGGAGTCACCATCCCTGAAATTTTTCCAAAAATCTTTACAATGTGGTTTAGTGAGCAGGGTGGTATTAGGTCAAAGGTTAGATGTTATGGTCTAGAGGTCTTTTCCAAACTTTGTGGCTCTATGATTCTCAAAGTGACTTACTACAAATAACTTCTGCCAGAAGGCTTATAACTTTTTTTTAATGCCTTTTGTAGAATGTGTAAGACTTTAATGCCTTTCTTATATGTTGTTTCTGGTGTTAAGAATATCAAGTTTCTGGCAGGAGCACTTTCCCCTGGTTGCATATTCCAGTCTTTAAATGACTTGAGTTTTTTAAATAAGCTTAATTATAACTACTAGCAGCATAGAGTAAATACAGCAGTAAATTATGATACAGAGTTTAACACTATTGCATAAAGTAAGGACACTCAGCTTAAGTAAATTTCATCTTCCTTTTGCTTTGTGTACATTTCAAATCAGGATATGGATGTTTAAGATCTTGTAATTGTTTTTTTCAAGAAAAGACTGTTTACAAACATTTCCATTCTATCTACCTAATTACAGAGTGACACTTGAAGTCCTTGATAAATAAAAAAACCCAACTAGACAAAAACCCACTACAGACTGAAAATAAATCAACTCTAGCAACTACTATACACAGGCTTTAAGAGCCATCTAGTGGGATTATTCTGCAAGTAACCCTGTAAACACTAAATAGAGCAATTCCTAATGAGCATTTTACTTAAAAAAATAAAAGGCAACCAAAAAAACCAATCAAATAATTAGAATATGGTGAATTAAGAGTCACGTTAACTCAAAAGGGAGCTGAAATTTGTTTTAGACACAACACTTCTTTCCATTTCCCATAACACTTGATTGTGGCTACACAATTCAATATGCATTAAAAGTTTGCAAGCAGATGAACAACCCAATTTTGTCTTACAGTAATAGTTTCCATATTGACAGACAATTTTGAGGAATGTTGCTGATGTAGTCAGATGCATTATATTTATTTTTTTAAACACCATATCAACTTTCTTCAGCTCAAAAACATGTTTAAGAAACTTTGTTGGTGCTGTTTTGTCTGACGAGAGAAGGTACCAGGTAGTTCAGAAGGATAGTCTTATAGCTTATGAGAGTGGAAAAACAGGGGAGAGAAAGGTTTATGAACTGAGGTAGTACTTTAGGGACCAGTGTCAATGAAAAAAGTAAGCAAGTGGTGTTTTCAAAAAGTAAAAAGCTTAGAACTGTATCAGTCTCACCTAAAAGGCAGATAGTAACTATGAACTAAAGATTTGGTACAATGGGGAAGGAAGGAAGACATCATTAGACTGTTGTTTTCTAAGCAAAATACATAAATAACAGCAGAGAGGAAAATAAGATCCCACAAGGCAAGTGCCACTAGAGTATTTATGATCCTGGAATTTAAGGGAGTTCAGAATTTTATTTCACAGATGTCTATTGAAGAGAAGTGTCAAGCTCCTGGGATGGGATCTCAGCTTACTTGTATCAAACTTTTAAGACTTGAGTCAGGGAACCTAGACTTCCTCTACAGAAAAGCACAACACAAACTACATCCTTCCAGTCCCTAAAACCCAGGAAGATGAGGTGATAGTGACTTGCATACTAATAAACAAGACTGGGGAGAGATGGCTGTGGATTAACTTGATCCTTCCAACAAACACTGTATTTTTACTGTAGGTTAGACTGTTTCTTCCTTCTACTAAAAAGCAAATCAGTGAAAATTCAACCAAAGGTAAACAGTATCTTGACCATATAATGAGCCAGCAGCAAGAAAAAATTGGTTTTAAGGGCCCCTCCTTTTTTGGGGAAAATTGCTTCCATTCTGTTAGAAGCAGTAGCACAGAACACAGGAATAACTTAGCTTAAAAGAGCTAAGTGAGCTGTTGAGATGAGCCTGGTGTTGTCTGTACCAAAGTGAATTTGGGAACTCCTGCTACCACAGCTGTGAAAATAGCAGCTACTGATGTGCAATAGCTGAGAGAATCTACCCCGGATACAGTGTGGGAAGATTTTCCAGTCATGCTACTGGACCTTGTTCTTTCAGAACTGATCATATGCCATTACACCAAAGGTGGGCATCCTAATTTATCCAGTCATACTTAAAATTGAAGTAAGGAAATGTGGTTTTAGGTAGAATCTGCCTTTTTTACATTGAGGATACCTCCACAGTACACTCAAGTCAAACAAAGCAAACAAAAAACCAAACAAAACCACAAACAAACAAAAAAGGAAAAAAGCAAAACTCCTTTTATGCTCTCAGAAAGAACTTCTGAAAAATTTCAGAATTCTAGACTGAAAAGTGCTCAGCACAGGATATGCTAATTTTTACTTGAAATGAATGCTAAAGAGCCCTTTTAAGTCAAATAACTTTATTTCAGATTACAGCCATACTAATAGTCAAACTGCATTTACTAAAAAGTCACTTAGAGGAATTTTTACACTTCAATTGGAAATACACGCAACAGTGATAGCACATTCTAAAAAACCTCATAAAAACACATAGCACTTGACATATTAGTAATTACATTTAGCTAAAATGTAAATAGCATTATTCAGATGAGGATTTTTTAGGTCCTCAGTAATATCCTGAAATGACAGAAGTGCCACTCAATTTCACGACACTTGTCATAGCAAATGATAGCCCTAATCTTGAAAATTTTGCAGACTGGCAATATAGTAAGGCAAAGTAAAGCCATGGCAGTTGGCTGGCAAGGAAAGGCTATGCCTGTCATAGCAAATGATAGTCCCAATCTCAAAGATCTTGCAGACTGACACTATCTTAAGTAAGGCGAAGTAGAAGTCGTGACAGCAGCCTTCCACAGACAGGTTAACTCACAGCAGTCTAACAGTCTTTCCAGTCACAGTCAAGAAGTCATCATCAGCCAAGGCACGAAGTGCTTCTTCAAACATTTCCTTCGTGACAGCCTTGAAGAAAAGAAGCAAATCAAATAAAGATGGGATAATATTTCAAAGACAGTAAAAATTCCTTACTTTCTACCAATTTTCTTTTATTTTCTTTTCTTATATTTTTATTTGTTCTTTTTGCAATTGGAAACCTGACCTGGAACCCTGAAGCTGAGTTTGCTAATTCAGAAGCCAGAGTAAACTTAAGATAAATGAGTTGAATTTGCTGTATCTGTAGTAGAACTGGCTTTCTAGTCACGCAGACAGAAAATGTTCATGTTTCCCTTTCCCTCCACAACGTAATTTGAGGACAGGAATGTTCATTTGGAAAAACATGCTTTTAAAAATTAATGAAAATGTAAAAACAAAGCAGGAAACTTACTGTATCAGACTGGGCTCGGAGATCATCGAAAAGCTGTTGGTACTTCAAAGACGGTGATTTACCCTTTGACTGGATAAGCTTCCTTAAGGCTTGAGCCAACTCCTCTTTTCGCTTACGAGCTGTTGCGCTCATTCCTTTTAAAAGGAAAGAAAATACCTTTTGGTAATCAACTAAGGAGGACAGGTTAAGTTACATTCTAAAAATTACAAAAGCCCAATAACAGCCCAGCTTTAACACTGTGAAAACACAAACCTGTAGTGAGAATGGATATGTCCACAATTCCAGTCCTTGGATCAGTAGCAGACTGTTTCAGTGCTTCCCGATGGAGGCGTCTTGCTTCTTCTACATCAATTGTTTCAACTTTCTCTGAAAAGCGCACCTTGGCGTGCGCCTCTGCCAGCCGGATCAGGGACTCAAGCTGTCGAGGATATGCAGAAACCATTCCCCTGCCACTACCAATCTTCCTCATGTCCACATATGCCTGAAAAGGAGACAGTTGTTAAATACTTCAGTAAATCTTGTTATATTCAGTCTTTTTCAGAGTCCACTTCATCCTCCACCTCTTACTTCAGAACATGAACAATTCTGGTAAACCATTCCAAGTCCTGCATTTCTGCTCATACACCTTCACAATTCTTCTGTAGTGACGGATAACCACATCACGTTACTTCTTTCTGTTATAAAGCAATTAGGCCATGGTAACAAATCAAGTTTTGAATCACTTTAAGAATGTAGAACTAGTCTTACATAGCAGTACTTCTCTCTGTAATGACACATTTATTTTGTTTCAGTAGAATTTAATGCATTTTATGTGATGGAACCAAACCAACACCTCTGAAAGCTAAACACGAGAGTGCAGCATGAGTTCTAATCTGATCCCTTTTTCCTTTTAAATGCTGTTGGATTTCAAAAAGTTTTCAGGATCTTACAGAAAAGTTGCATGTAGATAAGAGTATACATGCTACAGAATTTGATTTCTGACCAGTCAGGAAAGACTCTGAACATTCTATCAGCAACTCCTTTACCTCTATAAGGGCTTGGCTTGCTTCTTCACTTAATCTGGGATTTACATAACTACGAGCATATGCAATGTAATCTCTCAATATTGCCATATCCATGTATTCCTCCTCCATCTTCTCTTCACTTTGGTAGTACAGTGAAACCAAATGACGAGCAAGACGTCTGTCATAAGCTTCATCACGTGGATCCAACATCAAAAAGATCAAGTCAAATCTGCATGGGATTAGTAACCAGCATTAGTGTGCAGACCTTCTTGTCATTTAGGTACTTGGTTTTCACAGGGGTTGACTTAACAAATACGGGTAGGAGTTACCAGACTCCTAATTCCTACTCTAAGTAAAAGCTGTTCTATTAAACTGAAAAGAAAATTTTCCATGAATTCTCAAAGTATAGAACAGCACAATGGATTTGCTTTCATCTTATGGACTTGAAATTTTTGAAGTGAGGTACATTCTGAAAAATTCAGATTCCATGTTCAAGGCTGACAATTTTGTTTTCTTAAAAAGAAACCCACACACCAAAAAAGTACCCCTGCCACAAGCAAAAAATCCCCCCACATAACAAATGCACAGAACAAACTGCTACTAAAGAAACTGTCCTGAAAGGCAACAGCATATAAAACCCCCTAAGTAAATAAATAATGTATAAATAAAAAAGCACTTGTAGTTTAATCCTGAAGAAAATGGTTTATAATTCTGCAAACAATATATTCAATTAGTCTCAACTATACGCAGGCATGAATAATGTATTTTTAGCCAGCCAATCATTTATTTTTGTAAAATTAAATCCATTAAGAGGTGGAATTGAGATGCTGCTCAAGCCTAGTTTCATCCAGTACATCTGCACTAAGATACCATCTGTTATTACGTGGCTAAATTAAGTAGCTCTTAATTGAAATCTAAGCCGTGTGTACTCGGGATATCCCATATACCATCAGTGTACTTCAAATTTGCAGTTAGTGTGGGAATTCCTAGTAAGATAAAATTGCAGAACATAGTTTTTTAAGTTTCTGTCAGCAGACATTAAATGTGGCTCCAACAGCTATGCCCAAATGACTAGCCAGCATTGCCACTTCCCCAGCTAAGTTTACAGAGCAACATGAAGCAGGCACAGATCTTCATATTCTACCACCTCTGCTGCAACTTCCCTGATCATCAGTGTTTCACTTTAAAAGCTTTATGAAGCTTAAGAAAAGCATCCTGAGTTTTTGTGGAAGTTATCAACACCCTAAGATTCAGAACAGCTCTTTTCTAGATGATTATGAAACAATATAGAATTAAAGAGAGAGATCCTAGAGATCTTCTCATGCCTGCTGTTCAGCATGCAAAGACTAAAAAGCAGTTCCCTGCTCATACAGAAGCTGTAAGAATAGCATTTAAAATAGGTGTTATAAAAGTTTTCCACTATGCTGCAAGCAACAGAGTTGTTCTGTTCTACTATATTTAACCATTTTCACAAGAGGAAGTAAAACATCTCCTAAAAATGAGACATGCAGGCAGGAGTTCAGTACCTTGACAACAGTGTATGAGGAAGCTGAATGTTTTCAATAGTAGTCTTTTTTGGATTCCACTGTGATTCTATAGGGTTAGCTGCTGCCAGGATAGATGTACGGGCGTTCAGTTGGCAAATAATTCCAGCCTGTCAAAATGAAAAAACACTTCTGAAACCAGCTGCATCTAAGTGCCACCAAAACCTTTTTCCCCCCCAACTTCATGAGATCACCAATGTTATTAGATGGGTTCTGCAGTAAAAAACTGCACTGCAAAGCCTTTGAGTAAAGCAAGAGCAAAAGCCTCTAGGGATACTTCAGTCTGCTATGAAAGATTCAAACAAATATTTACCTTTGCAATGGAGAGTGTCTGTTGTTCCATTACTTCATGTAGAACTGATCTTGTGCTTTCACTCATTTTGTCAAACTCATCAATGCAGCAAATGCCATTGTCACTAAGGACTAGAGCACCTGTCTGAAGAACCAGTTGCCGTGTTTCTGGATCCTTCATCACATATGCAGTAAGACCAACTGCACTTGAGCCTTTGCCAGAAGTATACTGGCCTCGAGGAACCAGGTTATACACATACTGGAGCAGCTGTGATTTGCTGGTACCAGGATCACCACAGAGAAGAATGTTGATCTCTGCACGAAAATTGCCTCTTCCTGTGTGAGTAAAATCCTTTCTTGATCCCCCAAAAAGCTGAAGCAGGATACCCTATAAAAATCAAAATGTCATGTCTTGGATTTGCTCTGTTAGCTATTCAGCTGTTCAACTGAAACATCTAATAAACTGAAATACTACTAAAATTACACAACTCAGACATGAAACGAAACACTTGAAACTGGTTTTAGATATCTTTTAAAAGGGTTCATTCTTTATAGACATCCTCAATTCCAGTTCATTGCAAACATATAGTTAAAATGCTAGGTCCTACAAACTCAGCTTCTAATTGAAGTCTGAAATTAGATTCATTCCAAATCTGTTCCAAAATTTAGGTAATCAAAAAATCTGACAAGAAATTCTGCTGACAATACAAAAGGCAGAATAGACTATTGTTTTCCCTAAGGCTATGTTTAATCTAGGACCAAAGTACTATTGACTATTTCAAATCATTAGAAAAGTGCCATTTATCATTTTCTTTTCAGACAAACTGCTTTACTGCATTCAGAACATTAAAGTTCTTTTCTTGCTCATGAAAGTGAAGTCTGAGGTCTTTTACTTCATTGGACTTTACCAACACTTCCTCCCTCGTATTTCCTAAAGTAAGCCTATACTTCCAGTGTTAGTAAAGAAATTAAAGTAACTACCTTCCAGTATTTTGAAAGTACTGGAAACATTAGTATAAATACATGCTTTTAATTTTATTAGCCAGAATTATCAAGAAGGATTTGGTTTTTTCCTTTTCAACTTTACTAGATTAAAATTTCACAATTTCCCAGTATTCTTTCTGCATTTTTTTCCTCTAGCAGGATATATATGCTGGAAAGTCAATGAAAAGAAGTGCTAATCAGTGACAATCATGGCTGGAAACAGCAAGGAAAACCATACCCTATTTCATTTAAAGCCTCTGCACAACTTCTTACAGCAGAGAAACCTTGTGGAGGCATGGAGTGAGCATTAGTTCTGTTCTCATTCACTTAAAGTAACTTGAAGCAGTCAGTAAAACATGATCAGTAATTATAAAGAACCTTCGGGTTGGAACCTGAAGAATCTCCCTTGATGAAGGGTCCTCAGCTTCCCTCAACTCCACCAGTCACTAGACTTGATGTGCCTTATTAGTGTGTCGAGAAGGTATCAACAAATGGAATAATCATTACTGTATTTCCATTCCAGCAGAAAATTATAGTATGGTTTTGAATTCAACTTTCAGAAACCTGTGAACTATGATAATGTATAAATTTATAAAAAAACCCTAAAAAATATACTTGAAAAGGATTGTTTGATGCCTGATAATGCCTTGAGACCTGCTACTGATTGCAGTTTTTGCAATGATGTTGTAGTACCCCAGTTGAACACTTTATTAGAACAGTCCATTCTTGGATACATCTAAGTAAATCAAATAATTCAATCAAATGTCATTTTAAAGCTAGTGTTCTCTTGTGAGCAAGCACTTACTATGTTACAGCTACTTATTTTTCTTTGATCATCAGTAATCATTTAAGAAATGTCCAAGATGCATCCTGCAATTAAGTTTTCCCCATTCTGTTGCCTTCCTACCTTTTCAATCTTTCCTCTAATTAGCACTTCTTAATACCATGAAAAGAATTAAAATACACTTAGAATCAACCTCATCCTGACAAGACCATAACATTTTAAGACTGCTCAAGATACAGTTTTTTGAATTTTTAAGCTTCAGGGTATTTTTAGAACAAAAAATAATTACAAATATACTCACATACAAAATACTGACATACAAATGCATGTCTTACAAGAGAAACATTAATTCTTTTACCTTTTTGATATCTTCATGCTCATAGATACTTGGAGCCAATGCTAAAGAAAGTCTCTCATATATGTCTGCTTTTTTAGAAAGCTCTTTGAGAATTTTCACACGTTCCTCTGTAAATATTTTTTGCTCCGTTTCCTCATCGACACCATGCAGGCGTTTTGAATCTGTCTTGCGATAGTGTATGACATCAATGTGGGTCTTATACACGGATTGTACACTGCTGACACGTGGATTAACTCGAATTGGGACTGCCCGGTAGATACCTAAAACAAATTTTAATCGCAGCATTAGATATGGAGAAATATGATAATCCCAACCCCAACAAATTTTATAAGCTCCCTTGAAGAGTTAAGCTTTTCAAAACAGCGTAAATACTTTGGTCAGTTAATTTCTCAGTATAAGTCATATAGAAGCCAATGGAACATATTTAAGTCATCTAGACCCTGTATTTGCAGGTACATGTCCCATCATGGCTAGGCTTCACGAACGAAGATTTGGGAAGGGCTCTACCCACGTTTCTTGCAAGCGCGTTGGTGGCTAAAAAGGCCAATACGAGATAGACACGTCCGGTTGCAAAAGGCACAGCAGAAAGACTCCTTAGATGGTATATTCTGCAAGGCACGATTCTTTCTGCGTTGTCTTTTCTCCTCAAGCAGGTACATGTATGTGTTTAACATTTGTACCAAAAGTGTTCTCAACAATAAAAACACTTAAGCATTTTTTGAAAGAAAATTAAGGCTTGATGCATTCAAAATTCCTGTTCCAGTGTCTAGTCAGCCTTTCCCCCGTTTTGAAGGTTTTTTAGCAGCTTTCTAATCCATCTCGAGCAGCTAGCAGTACAGCACTTCTTTTAAAGCAAAGTGGTTTATAAAATGTGGTTGCAGTATCGCAAGACCTACTCTACATTATCACTCTCCTGACTGCAGACATTATTTAAGATACTGCCTCTTCTTCACCTACAGTTTCAGAATGACTGAATCATCAAGGTCAGACAAGCTGGAGACTGTCTAATACAACCATGGACTCAAACTGGAGTCAACTGGAACAGGCTGCCAAAGGCTGTGTCCAGTCAGATTTTGGGTACCTTTCAGAATGGAGGCTCCACACGGCCTCTCTAGGCAACGCGTGCCAGGGCGTGACCACACAAACAGTAAAAAAGTTCTTATTTTTAACTGGAATTTCCTGTATTTCACCTTGTACCCTCTGCATGCCACTGGGCATTGCTAAGAAGAGTCTGGCTTTCCCTTCTTGACACTACCACCCCCCTACCCACACCAATCAGGTACTTAAAAACACACTGCTAAAATCCCCCTGAGCCTTCTATTCTCCAGCCTGAGCAGTCCCAGCTTTCTCAGCCTTTCCGTGTATGACAGAGGCTCCTGCCATGATCACAGCCCTTTGCGAATTCACTCCTGTATGTTCACGTCTCCCTTGCACTGGGAGACCCCACAACTGGACCCAGTACTCCCCCAGTCTGCTGCCAGTACTCCTAATGCAGCCCAGGAGGCTCTTGGGACCACAGCCATGTGGCCTATCAAGCACTGCTTCCTTCCAGTTTTGCTTGTCTACAAGTTTGCTGATGGTGCACCACAACACTGTCCCAATTAGAAAAAGTTTCCAGGATTATTAGCTCTATCACCTTCCCCAGGGGTCAAGATGAGGCTGACTGACTTGCATTTCCCCAGGTCTCCTCCTTACTCTAGGGAGTGATATTGGCTTTTTTCCAGGATCTTAGCCAGTCATCCTGACTTTTCAAAGATTGAGTGGCCTTACAAAGAAAGTGTCCAGCTCCCTCAGCACCTCAGCACTTGCAGGTGCATCCCATCAGGTCCCTTTAGAGACAGTTATGATCAGTGAAAAAGAAGGATGCAAATACTCAAACCAAATTTTACCTGTGACATTAATTCTATCACCTGGCTGCACTTTATCAACAAGGTCATTGTGAGCAAACAGCACAACTGTATGTGGGGTCTGCCCAGCTGGCATATCTTCAGGAGACTCCTGCAGTTTGATCTAGTAAAAGAAAAAGAAAAAACACTTAAGTTTCAGTTTCAAAAACCCAAAGCTTTTTTCCACAGAGCATACCGAAGATTTTTGTATTAGCACAGTCTTCAGCATCATTTTGAATGAGGAACATTGCTCAAGAACAACATATCCCCACCCAAACAGCAAAACTGATTACTGATTAAAAGACATGATGAAATGAGAATTCTACAGATTGCTGGTGTGGCTAAAATGCTGTTACATACAAGGCTCATCTAGTCTAGATAAAAAGGGACATACTATATATATAAAGGGGCTTCCATGTACAAACATTAAGAAGTGTACATACTTCATTTCATCCTTTTAATGCATTTCTTCTCCAAAGTAGATTTACCATTTCACTAAGTTTTTTCACCCATTTTCATGTTCCAAAACATGTTTGCTTTCCAAAACATTCAGTCACAAGATACACAATTTAATACTACTGATAATTTTAGGAGGGTGGAGGGGAAAAAAATAGAAACTGTTTCATTTAGCCACTACTAAGCCAACATACCATCTGTTTGTCAGAGAACATGGATCGATTGTGAATCAGTGCCATACTGTGCGTTGTGTTACAGTTCTTGCACACTGATGGTTCAGCAATCCTGCCACGATCGATTTCTACTCTGGTGGTGAAAGCGCAAACCTGGCATTTAAAGAATGCTTCCTGCATCTCAGGAATTAACTGGGAGCTTCTGATGACCATACCACTGATGGTGATGAGTTGATCGATGTCTACAAAATTATAGAGACTCGTGTCATGACTTCATAGTCCTAAAATTTAAATAACCTTCAAAATTTCATGTCAGATTAGTTTTTAGGCAGGAGGTAGACGTTCAGTTAGGTACTAGTATTTTGTTTCAGACAAAGCAAAAAGAATCATAAATGCATAGTACAAATATTCTAATTTACAGGAGTATTTACACAAAAGAAAGAATTCTTTGCACTTGCAGAACTAAGAACTTGAGTAGCTGATGATAGGAAAGATTTCCTTTATGAATAGATCATTCTGCATATGGGCTCTAAAGTATTTGTTTCTGAAACAGACATATGAACAGAAGACATTGGTCTGCATGGACCACAAGTAGTTTTATATGGTCTTAATGTAATTCTAGGCTAGCATTCATTAAGTATATATAAATCTTTTAAGATCCTTTTCTGACATGGTAAGCAGAGAGTTTACCTTCAGGGTTTAGACTTCTCATATTCCTAGTCTTCAATGCATTATATGGCCTTACTTGAATTTGATGTTCTAGTATTGAATCAGGGTAACGATCAAAAAATATCTCATTGGCAGCCATGTCAAATGTTGGGATAACTTCCTGTATAAAATTGTTAAAAACAGTTAAGCTTACAAATTAAAAAAAATAATCACAGAGTGAAGTAATTTTGCATTAAGCATTTTATGTGCTGCTGACCAGCCACAAATTACTAAAAAGTTACGCCATCTGAGCATTCTCCTATGTAACAGAAAACTTGCTGTTCAGATTGGATTTATTCATTTACTTCAGTATTGCAAGGGGTAGGAGGGAAGCACAAGACTAGATATTGCAGATCACTGGTTAACTTTGCATGCATGAGGCACCCACTGTATCCATGATCAACTACTATGATACAAGACATTTTATATTAAGTAAAATAAAGAAGTCACTGAGATGGCACCGAACATACAAAGTACACATTGCATTTAAACAAACATATTAAGTCCCAAAAATATGAAAGGGCCACTTGAAAGCCAGAAAACAAGTGCACTACTTCACCTGAGGGTAGCAGATCAGTTGCCTGTAGAGATTTTCATCAAATGATCTTAGATGATCACAGTTTACGTTCAGGAATGGTTCCCCAACAATATTAATCTACAAGGGAGTTTAGAAATCTTTAGCTCAGTGGCATGCAAGACTGAAAAAGAAAAGTTAGATTTCAGTGCATTACAAGTACCTCTTGAAGTCGCTGCATATAGCGTGGCTCATTAAGATCCAAGCCAATGTCTTCATCCTCTTTATCTAGTGGATCGATAAAGCGCTGAAGAAATCTCTAAATGTTAGGGGTAACAGGGAGACAGACAGGAAAGATAAGCAGAATAAGTAGTAGAAACGCTTATTTTTTATCAGATTCAAATTTAGGTCAAACTGGCTTTTTATTAAAAAAAAAAGAAAAGCAGATTGTTAACCTACCTGGAATTTTTCTTTGCATGAAGCTACATTAACATCAGTTCCCCAAATAACAAGCTTTTGTCCAAGAGATTGCTTGGTTGCTACTATATCCTCAGCCAGCTGCATGGAAACAAATTGAGCATATGCAAATACGCGTATTTCTTAAAAAAGAAGTCGTCAGATACAAGATCTGAGGCATATACCTACCCCGTCTGAGTGTAAATCAACTTGTCTGGCTTTACGGGCAGACCCAAGATCTGGCCTCTGCCTAACGGGAGTTCCTCGGACACCACTTCGTGGAGTACCCTCTACTCTGGAGCTGGGTGTGCCGTAAGTCAAAGGTGAACTGATATCGAAGTCAAGAGGAATAGCTATAAAAGGAAGTGTTTTGTAATGATTATCAAGACATTTTACACTGAGAGAAGACTAAAATTCAGCCTCTACATTTGTCTCATAGTTCTTTTAACTCTACTGTCGTAAAATGAGTGGCATCAATTCCAGTGTTTTGTCAAAACAAACAATAAAGGTGTTGCAAGTCTATCGAGAACTTTTCTTTGCATTAACATCTCCTCTCAAAGATCCCAAGTGCTAGTAAAGCTTCACTAGCAAACTTCTGAGCAGTACTGCAATTTAAAACTACATTGGTGTTCAAGCATAAAAACATACAGCATTTTAGATGAAACACAATTTTCAGTATTTTGGAGGCTGTAAAGCGAGTGACACAATTAAAAGCTACTGGAATTGAAAACGATCCTATATATAAAAGCAAGTAAAGCTTTTTATGGCTAGCAACCTAATTCTTTTTGCACTAATAGCTTTATTATTTCTAGAAATACATGAGAGAAAAAAGTTAAGGTCTAATCACCGATACATACTTCCATGATAACTGGAAGCTACAATAGCGATCTGCACCCCTGACGCTGATTGAGCTTCTGTAGTGTCTACTATGCTAAAATCAAATGAGAAACTTCAGACAATAATTTTCTCCTCAAGTATTTTCCAGCCAGGTCCGTTCTGTATACCAGCTCGCCACAGAGCAGCGCAGGCAGCTCCCAGGCTGCATCCCAGCGGCCAGCACAGCCCCAGAGCGGCCCCAGCCCAGCGTACCCGAGTGGCGGAACTGAGGGGGGCTGGAGAACAGCGCGTCGGCGGCGCCGGGGCTCTGCACGTCGGCGGCCGGCGACGTGGGCATGGGCTGCAGGTCCCCGGTGGAGGTGGAGTCGTCCGCCCGACGCTTCTGGGAAGGAGGAGAGCGAGCATCTTGCGCTGCAAGACACAAGCGGACCCGGGGCCGGCGTTACAATGGCCGGACCGCCGCACCAGGCGGACTGAAGCGGAGGCGCCAGGAAACAACCCCAGGGCGGTGCGGGTAGCCTGCTCCCCGCGGCCCCCGCCCTGCCAGCCCCTTCCCGCCACTTACGAGTCGGGGGGTTGCTGCCCCGGCCGCGCTTGCCGCGGCGGCGGCTGGGGGTGGAGGCCGGAGACGACATGGCGCTGCTGCGGCTCCCGCGGCGGTCCTACCTGCGGGGAGTCGGCGAGAAGGATGAGCGCGGTGGGCGCCCCGCCACCCACCGAGCCCCGATCCCAGACCGGCGGGTTTCCCTCCCTGTCCTTCCCTCGCCGGCAGCGCCCCCCGCCCCTTCCCACCTGTGCGGGCACAGAGACACCGGGACCCTCCGCGCCGAAGCCTGAGGCGTGCGCGCGCTCTCGCGGGCTTTCTGGCCAATGGCGAGGCACGATCGCAAGAGGAGCACCCAACGGAGGCAGAAAGGGGGGATGCGGACGGGAGGAGGAAAGGAGGAAGGAGATAAACTCTCCGAACCCGCGAGGTGAGGGCCGCGCCGTGCTTAACCTGCAATAGTAGAGAGAGAAGTATAAGGCAGGATGCTATTTGTGCTACGATACGGAGGCTGCCGTCAGGACTGCCACATCGTCCGCCCCCCTGAGTCTAGAGTGGAACTGTCCGCACCGGGACGAATTTCGCGGCAAAACTAGTGCGGCAGGGAGGCGTGGGGAGGTCGGAGCGGCCCATTCTGAGCAGAGGGGGAACCACCACTGTATCCGATAGTGCTGTGTCCCGTTCTGGGCTCCTCAGTACGAGAGGGACAGGGAGCTCCTGGAGCGGGTCCAGCAGAGGGCGACTGAGATGCCCAAGGGACTGTAGCATGTCTCTTACGAGGAAAGGCTGAGGGACCTGGGCCTGTTCAGCCTTGAGAAGAAATGTCTTGAGAGGTGTCAAGAGGGTGGAGCCAGGCCATTCTCGGTGGTTCCAAGCAGTAGGATAAGGCAACGGGCAGAAACTGATGCACATGAAGTTCCACCTGAATATGAGGAGGAACTTGTTTATTGTGTGAGGTACTATGCACTGCAACAGGTTGGGGAGTTTCCGTCGCTGGAAATCCTCAACAACTGCCTAGACACAATCCTGTGCTCTGGGATAACCCTGCTTGAGCAGAGAGGTTGGACCAGATGACCCATTGTGGTCCCTCCCAGCCTTACCCATTCTGTGGTGTTAAATGTGTGTGTCCTGAGTCCATCCTGCGACGAGACACACAAAGATGCCCTGAAACGCCCTTCCCTGCCACCACCCCTCATTCCTCCTTCCCAGAATGCTCTAGCTGAGGATTCTCCTGCCCCCCGCGCTCAGCAGTCCGTGTCCCCCCTCTTGGCTGCGTTGGATGCTCCCGGGGGCGGGTCCCCCGCGCCCGCTTCCGCGCTGCGCTCCGGGAGCGGCTGGGTCGGCATGGCCGGGGTGCGGCAGTGCCTGCTCCAGCTGCACAGCTGCCTGCAGCCCGGCGATGCCCTGCAGGGGTACAGCCTGCTCCGCAGCCTGGCCGAGACCTGCCTCACCAGCCTGGACAGCAGCGAGCAGGGTGCGCCCGCGGGCCCGGTCCCTCGGGGTTGGCGGCGAGGGGGTCTGAGCGGGGCTTGGGGCGGCCGCCCCCGCGCTGGAGTCGGACAGCGAGTGCTCGGCTTGGGGGGGCTCGGTGGTGCCGGGGGCACACGCACCGGGGCGGCGGGATTGCGGGGCGGCCACGGTGCTTTATTCCACACTTTTTGTCGCTGCTGTGGCAAAAAAGGTATATTCCGAGGGAGGGACGGTCTCTTGCCCCAGATAACTATTTACCCGAGTAAAAGCACTTCGTGCGCGCCCCTCTCTGAGCTGCCCCCAGGTCGGCTTCCCCTCAGCCCCGAGTAGGGGCAGGCTCAAGTGCGAGGGCACCGGCACAAGCCCTGGGCCCGAGGCCATGGGGAGGTCGGTGGCACTCACACTGTGTTGTGGTTTTTCTGGTGACAAGCATCAGTCGTGCCCGAGGCGTTAAAGCACCTGCAGCCCCCGGGGATGGGCTGGGTGTTGTGCAGCCCTCCCTACCCCAGCAAGGAAGCCAGCCACCTGATGTTTCCTTTGTTTTGCAGCGCTGCACCTGTCCCTGGTGTTCTCCCAAGAGCATGGCTTACTCGTCTTTATCCACAGATCCCTCAGCACTGAGGAGGTGAGTTGGTAAACTTTAATTGTTAAAGTAGTGTTGAGATAGTGCTATGTGAACAACTTATTATATGCTTTAATTTTTTTGTTTTGTTTTAAACTGTCAGTTTCGAGATTGCAGGGACGAAGCATTGAAGTTTCTTTGCGTCTTTATGGAAAAAGTTGGTGACAAAGTTCATCCCTATGCCTGTAATATTAAGGTAGGTAAAGGACAATTGCTTCATAAAGGCCTTTGTCAGGTGGTTGAAACAATTCAGGTGGGGCTCACACCATAACAGATTCCTAACTATCTTGTGCATCTCCCATCTCTACTGCTCTTGTTAGACCTGAAAGAACTTGGTTGACATGAAGTGTCATACCACAGAAAAGTGTGGAATTGTTTCTTCAGTTATAGACTTAATTTTATTAACTTTTTTTTTTAGAACTTAATAGGTATTGAGTCTGAAAATTATTTATTGACATTGAAAGTAATAGTTATAACTTTTAATTTATACAAACTAAACTTGTTTCTAGAGATGGTGGTTAATTTTAAATACCAATTTTTTAAAAATTTCTCCTGCAAAGTTATTATACAGAAATTAGCAGTAATTACAGTAACTCTAAAAATGAGGTTCATTGACTCTGGAGTGCTGAAGAGCTCTGTGTTGCTTTGCACAGAAATGCTTGAATGCACCACTGAAGTTTCTGATCTCAAATTAATAGCTACTTACTGTAAGAAGTGACAGTACATTGGAGGGGGAGAATGTGCTATGTTTGCCTTTTACTTCAGAAACTGCAATTTCTTTGCTGGAGTTGGGATTTGTTATTATGTCAGACAGTGCTGCAATGTTGTCAGTCAGGCCACTTTGGGTACTAGATACTGGTTTAGTCTTTTTTAAAAAACCTTAAACTTGTGAGGAACAGATACTTTAAAGAGGTAGATGAATATGTGTTATCTTTGAATTTCCTTCTTTACTTACAAGTAATTTAATCTCCATTTTCTTTCTTGTGCAGCAAACTTGTCTTAGTGTCTATACAAAAGAGAGAGCAGCAAAATGTAAAGTTGCAGCACTGGAACTTCTGATGAAGGTAAAATGCATTTTATAAACCTCTCTTGATTCTAGAAAACAGTAGAAAGTCTCTTGTATTGCTACAGTTATCCTATATCATACAGAAAATCTGTAGTCTACAGTAGCAAGAGAATAGTGATAGTGTAATATTTAGATGTTAAAAGAGATATGCCTTAACAACGGATTGTCTTCAGTATTCTCCAGTAGGTTGCTTAGGATATAAGGGCGTCATTCCTTCATCTATCTGCTAGAGCAAGACACAGTTGTTTTGGGGGCGTTTGCAGATCTCTCAGTTAATTACAGTTATTTAAGGAAAAATGTTGCAGTTCAATTGTATTCTTGCTTTAAAATATGTATTATATGTAATATTATAATATATTAGACACAGTATGTGAAAGGTGTGGAGAAGACGAACTTTTTTTTTGGAAGTTTAGGTACTGCACGAGACAGTAATTTTACAATGTACTTCCTTAGAATGCATTAGACCCTTGTTTTGCAAATGCTTTTGCTCTTACTCAGTTTTGTTTATGAGAAAAAAAAACATCCCTTCTGAGTTATTTGGAGTCAGTTCTGTGAATTTGATTGGCTTTATACCAGCAGGGAGATAAATACAATATGATAGAAGATATTGCAGACTTGATGAACCTGTGCTCTTGTGAGGTGTGTATATAAGTTAAAAATTTTGTATTTATGCATATTTAGGAAGGTAGTTTATTGTTAAAGTAGATTTTGTACTGTTTATCTTTCCCGGCTCGGTCACCTTAAATCTCTTTCATTGACTAGCATACTTGCATACTTAAGGTGAAGGAACATGTGTGAACTGTGTTTTTATTTAGACCAAGTAGTATTGTGTTAGTGATATTAATGCTTCTCCTGAGTTTTTTTTTTCCTTTTTTGTTCTATCTTAGTTGCTCCAAAGTTTACGATGTTCTTGTCTGATGGAAGAAATGAAGGTTGGGGAGATATTTAATAAATTTTATGGGGAGCTTGGTACAAAAAGTAAAATTCCCGATACAGGTAGGGTTTAGTTTTTCTGTGAGTTTTGTCTGTTTTATTTACATTCAGGTTTTGTTGGATTATGTCCCAATATATAATTGTTATTTCCATGGCAAGTTGTGTTTAAAAACGTAAAAAGGTAGTAGTGAAGTTTGTTCAGGTCTTCTGATCATGGCCATGGAGTTAGCTGCTTCTTAGCAGACCTGTATGTATGTATGACTGAACATGCGGAAGAAATCATACAGTTGCATTCAGTGATGGCAGTTCACACTGAATTTAAGCATAGATCTGGTTTAGGATTCCCAACAAAAAGTATTTTCATGTCTTACCTATTATAATTAGATCCTGAATGCCTAAATCCTGAAAGTAATTCCAGCTTTCTTGTCAGTAACCAACTTAACTTTGTTAGATTCTTAGATTTAATTTTTTTCCCAGGTTCAGTGCTAAGCTGGTGTAGCTGAACCTTTGAAGTTACTCTTGTGCCTGGTTTATAACTATACGCACACACACATACCCTTGTAACTTTGAGCCTTAAGAGTAGTTCTGGTTCCTCCAGTGGGTGCTCTTAACAAAAGCAGAGGCTGCCCATTCTTGTAGAAGTTCATGTCAACTCCAGCTCAGTTGCTCAGGGTGCTGATCGATAGCCAGCGGAACATGATCCAGCAGTGTGCCCGAGGGGCCAAGAAGGCCAATGGCTTCCTGGCCTGTATCAGAAACCGTATGGTCAGCAGGAGCAAGGCAGTGATTGTCCCCCTATACTCAGCACTGGTGAGGTCGCAACTTGAATCCTCTGTTCAGTTTTGGGCGCCTCACTCCAAGACACTGATTGGGGTGCTGGAGTATGTCCAGAGAAGGGCAACGGAGCTGGGGAAGGGTCTGGAGCACAAGCCTTATAAGGGGCAGCTGAGGGAACTGGGGTTGTTTAGCCTGAAGAAAAGGAAGCTCAGGGAGGACCTTATCACTCTACAACTCTCTGAATGGAGGTTG